TTGAAAATCGTTTATAGGGTTCAATATAAACATGGACGAGTTTGGATTAACTCGTGGATATAAACATGGACGAGTTAAGATTGTCGTGCAGGATCCAGTTAACATCCTATGCCCCCTCTAACCCTAACCCCCCCCCCCCAGATAGACCAAGTTAAAGTCTTGCACCCCAGAATTTAATTCGCATGCATGTAAAATGTTCGATTCTGATTGGCTGAAAATTAACTTAGAACCAAATCCTCCTCCCCAAACGGCTTTGGAGGGAGGGGGGGGGGGGAGGAAGGATGATGTTAACTTGGTCCGAGCTATGTACTAGGGTGGGTTATTTTCCCTGCACAACCAGATATCACAACACAAAGACATGTCATACATCGACTTACTAAAGTTTAGCCTGATTAGAGAAAAACGTGATTATTCTTTTTTATTTGTCATTTTTTCTTAGACTTTGTGCCACGTATACTTAGAAATTTGGCTCATAAACTTTTATCGTTCTTCATTAATTTGGAATGGAATCACACTTTTTTCGCTTGCGTAAAAAACTAGCCAAAAATTAAAAAACAACCAATTGCGAATTTTTTTGAGGTGGTTATGTGGTTGGAGCTTTCTAAGCTTCTTGCGCAGCTACTGGCTGTTTAGCTTTGTTTCTCATGTATTTAATTTTTCCACTGGCCTCTATTGGAACGTAGAAGGGAGTACCAATTGAACTGCAAGTAGTGTTCTCGTAGAATGGAATCGAACAGTTCGACGTCACCAGGTTGTGGTACTCTTGCACTGTACCTCGAGGTTGTAAATAAGCCCAGCAAGCAGAAAGACTTGTCACTGAAATGGCAGTTTGCTCGAGTTACTTTAATTTTAAATTTGAGCAAATTAATGACAAACCTAACCACTAGCCCACTATTTCAACATCTGCCATCACAAAAATTCTGGTGGTCAATCGGGGGTGGATTCAGGGGGGACGCCACCTTACAGGGATTCGACCCCCTCGCCAACCAAATGGTCCCTCCTTTGGTATTACTTTATGACATCCATTTTCGGCGACAAATCCTGAAATTGTTTAAAGGCGCTTTCGGCGCCAATATTTACTAATTTTGAAGGAGAGCGCGCGCCAAAAAAACCAAGTGTTTGGTCAAAACTTTCGAAAAAGTGCCTAATCGTCGTTTTTTGACATGTTTTTTTAAATAAAAATTAGCTTGCAACGCAGAAGGTTTAGTCAAAATAGGGTCATAATACTGTTATGGGAGCCCCACCTGATTTTAAAATCCTCCCCCCTCCTCAAGAAAATCCTAGATCCGCCCCTGTCTCAATGTTTCTTCGAAAGTACCCTTTAAGTAAATTCATTAAATTCGGGGCAGCCAAGCTACACAAACTAAAGAGGAAGCGTCATCAAAATGCGCATGTTTTGGCTGAAACATTTGAATTTATTGTAAAATTTTTCAGTAAAAACTGCCTGCTGCAAGCAAAATTTCGGCTAAATTGAAATTCGAAATTTAAGAAACACGATAAAGTTGTAACATCTCATTTCTTTGATAGACAAAATCTTTTTTGATAGACAAAATTTCTACACATATCCCGAAGGCTCGAGAATACATGCTTTTTGATATAAACTAACAAAACAACAAACAAGATTCAGTCAACCGGTTTCTTGTGATTTATATTTCTTTTTTCTCCGAAACTGATCTGTCACTGTAACTCACTCTAATTTCAAGCACTGTTTGGCGAATGGGTGTATGACTTGGGGGATGATGAACTGCTGCGACTCCCATCCGGCTAGAGAGGGGGTCACCATCTCACTCAGACAAAGTACCATCCACACTAAAAACGCATTCCATTATTGAATTTCAATTTTCAACAGTCATCTATAAGGCAAGATACTGCACTATTGATTAAAATTTTGCACTACTTTTCAAATGCCGTCCCGAGGTGACGTCCATACAAGAAAACTGCTTATCCAATTTTATAATTAGAGTTTACCGAAAATTGTTTCTGATACCAATTTCATAGAAGAAAATTGTATGACAAGAATTTTTTCAATCCAAAGTTTTTATTCGAAACTTATCTTAAATTGGTTTAAAACTCAATCAAACCAAAGTGGTAGCAGTTTGATTACATGAGAGCAACTTTGACATCAAAAAGTTTTAAAAATGTTAACTTGGTCCGAGCTATGTACTAGGGTGTGTTATTTTCCCTGCACAACCAGATATCACAAAGACATGTCATACATCGACTTACTAAAGTTTAGCCTGATTAGAGAAAAACGTGATTATTCTTTTTTATTTGTCATTTTTTCTTAGACTTTGTGCCACGTATACTTAGAAATTGGCTCATAAACTTTTATCGTTCTTCATTAATTTGGAATTGAATCACACTTTTTTCGCTTGCGTAAAAAACTAGCCAAAAATTAAAAAACAACCAATTGCGAATTTTTTTGAGGTGGTTATGTGGTTGGAGCTTTCTAAGCTTCTTGCGCAGCTACTGGCTGTTTAGCTTTGTTTCTCATGTATTTAATTTTTCCACTGGCCTCTATTGGAACGTAGAAGGGAGTACCAATTGAACTGCAAGTAGTGTTCTCGTAGAATGGAATCGAACAGTTCGACGTCACCAGGTTGTGGTACATGCTTTTTGATATAAACTAACAAAACAACAAACAAGATTCAGTCAACCGGTTTCTTGTGATTTATACTTCTTTTTTCTCCGAAACTGATCTGTCACTGTAACTCACTCTAATTTCAAGCACTGTTTGGCGAATGGGTGAATGACTTGGGGGATGATGAACTGCTGCGACTCCCATCCGGCTAGAGAGGGGGTCACCATCTCACTCAGACAAAGTACCATCCGCACTAAAAACGCATTCCATTATTGAATTTCAATTTTCAACAGTCATCTATAAGGCAAGATACTGCACTATTGATTAAAATTTTGCACTACTGTTCAAATGCCGTCCCGAGGTGACGTCCATACAAGGAAACTGCTTATCCAATTTTATAATTAGAGTTTACCGAAAATTGTTTCTGATACCAATTTCATAGAAGAAAATTGTATGACAAGAATTTTTTCAATCCAAAGTTTTTATTCGAAACTTATCTTAAATTGGTTTAAGACTCAATCAAAACAAAGTGGTAGCAGTTTGATTACATGAGAGCAACTTTGACATCAAAAAGTTTTAAAAAAGCTTATCATAAAGCTTCATATACAAAAATTGTACGATATGTATTTTTCCAATGAAAAAATCAAATACAAATTTGAGGCAAAACTGTTTATCCTTTTTTGGTTGCAAACTTGCTCCTGTTCTCGAATATACTTTAACAAATACAAAAAATTTGCATTCGACTTCTATCCCTATAACGTAAGCCAGGTTGATTTTTTCAACACAAAAACCCAAAAATCACAAGCAAGTGTTTTTTTAAACACTTAATTTTTTTGTTTTCAAATGCTAAAAGAAACAGTTACAGTTCGGGTGTAAAGATCGGTACAAAAATGTCAACTTTCATTTTCATACCTATTATCGCCAAATGCAGTTCATCTTATCATACTACATGCTTATCAACAAAAAAGAAAAAAGTAAAATGTAGAGAAAACTAAAAAGTCAGTGAAAAATAGTACGGGTTCCAAACATCAATCCCGGGACACACAAGTACTAAAGTCGACTGCCTTTCAGACCTGTTCAATTGCAGCTGACAGAAACCGAACATTTTAGTCAGTAAAACTTTAGAATGCATGCTATAAACTAGCCAATACTATGCAACAAAAGTGCCACCAAAATAAACATTTTTTAGCAAGATCGATTGAGAAAAACCAGAGCCCGTAAAAAAGAATTACACTTGCAGCTCCCTTTTGTAAATGTTGTTAGTTTCCAGGCGGTTGTTACGGCTTCACTTACTAATCCATATTTTAAGAAAATCAAGAAAAATGAAAGGGGTTTTGATTAGTTATCGAAAAAAGAAACTAGTTATTGAAAAAAGAAACAAAAGATGCAAAATCAGAAGCAAAAGATGGACAAAATTTTCTATTCCTAGACCAATATCCAGTAATTTTTTCATTTATTTTCCATCATCTCCACGTATCTTTGTCACATTTATTACCAAATAGTCTTTGTTATCTCTTTGTCTTGTTTCTGACCATGCGTTTTTTACACCACAGCAATAGTCATGTTTTTGATTATTTAAAACAGGCTGATCCGACGGATAAACAAATCGGTATCTACAATTTTTTGATTTTTGACAACAATTTTTTTTGGATATGCAAATCGTTGCAAAGTGGCCATTAAAACTACGAGATGTACATGGGGCGTCCTTTGCAGGGAAAACACGAAAAAGCCAATTTACAAAATTTCCATCACCTTTCATTTATGATTTTTCTCTATCTACAGCAAGTGTCCATTCTCGTTTCTTAAAACTCCGGTGATTCTTTACAAAACTACTATGTCCAGCTTAAGAGGGCTTAACTTAAATCGTCATTTCCAAATGATTTGAGATTCCCTTCTCCTCTATTAGGGCAACATTTAGAGCTTCGTGAGGGGGTAGAGTTTCTGTTAGAGTTTTCTTCGAATTTTGTAGTTTTTTAGCTGTTAATAGAAGTGTCTCAAATCCACTCGTCTTTGCCGCTGTATTTAAAGCATTTCTTGCTCTTGCGCCCCAGAACTGTTTTAAACTTTACCTATCCCTCTGGCGTCTGTTAGTAGGTTGTAGCTTTCGAAAGTCACAATCGGTTTTCTGATGAAAGCTTGCTTCAAAAATTCCCTGAACTCGGCGACGTTATCCGAAGAATTTCGAACTACAAGGTTTTTTGTGCTTTTATGCGCTTATTTTCAAACCCTAACGCACGCTAAATATAACATTGAACGGATCTTTTTGTCGGCTTCTTCCATACGCATTCTGCTGAAAGTTTCAGTTCCTAGTTCGATTCTGATATTATCAGATTCCTCGAACTTCCTCTTTTCCTCTACATTTCTAGCTACCTGTTCTAGCTATCTAATTGAAGCAACTCTGGTTTCAAAAATCTAGCAAATTTAATAAGTTATCAATATCGATGTTCTCTTTGGCTTTTAATGCCAATTAGAACTTATCCCTCTAATCTTGCCATGGGGTAGGGGATCGATTGAGCGCGTTTGCCAGAGTGACGAGTCTCCCCTCGTGCTTGATTCGTTCTCAGATGGAAATTGCTATTATAGACGACTTGCTGAAATTGGTATTTTAACTAAAATAAACAGGCAACCACAACAGGTTCAAAAAATAAAAATGCAAAAAAAAAAGTTTATTAAAAAGTAAATGACAAACACAACGGGGTTCGAACATCACCCCAGACACCCAAGTACTAAAGAAGACAGCCTTTCCTACGTGTTCCACTGCAACTTACATAAACCGAACAGTAAAATCAGTAAAATTTGGAGAATGCATGCTATCAAACTGCTAAATAAATAATGCATGCTTTTAAACTGCTACTACTATGCAACAGTAGTGTCATGAAATTGAACACTTTTTAGCGAGCTTGGTTAAAAAATGTAGGTTCCATAATATAACATTGCACTTGCTAGCTTGCTTTTGTAAAAAATGTGACTTTCCAGGAAATTATTACGGCTTTAGTTATTAATCCATTTTTTAGGAAATTCTAAGAAACTGAAGGAATTTTGATTAGTTATTGTATTAAGAAACTTATGCAAAATCGGTATCTCACTTATTCTGCCGAATATTGTAAATTTTGAAACAAGAAAAATGAAGTAACACTTATTGCAACTGATTGATTGAAATGTGGTGAAAAGATATAGCATAAATCTCGCGTTTAGTTTTTATTGGGGAGATGTAAAAAAAATTTATTATACATAAAAGTTTGTTAGGGTTGTTAATCGGCAAACGCGCACAAAAAATACCTGACTGACTAACTTTGTGATCTGAAACATGATTTTCCGAGATCAACCAAAGGGACAATTATTTCAAACTAGGAATTTGGCCACTGCAGACAGAAGTTTGAGCTCATAATAAATGAAATTGAACAGTCTTTGAAAAAAACACAGCTAATAATCAATTGGAAAAGATTCCTTGAACGCAAAAAAAAAACTGAAAATAAACACTGACTTTTTGTTTCAAAAAAAATTCAAAGAAATTTTCGAATTTCAAAGAAACAAATAGATGTGTTAAAAACTCTTTAAAAATCTAAAACAATTTATGGTGGACCCTTTTTACAAAATTGTTCTTTGTGAACCCAAACTTTTGCCGTTCGATGGTGAAGTTTGCTGTCCTTATAACAACGAAAATGAACTGAACAAAAGTTAAAGCTTTTGCTGAAAAAACGAAAAAAACAATATCGCGACCTATGCAAGAGTCTGAAATGCGTTCATCGACTCTTAATCAACTGCCAAAAAAGGGTGAACTGAATTCAACTCGAACTTTGAGAAGAGCCGGAAACTCGTCAAGAACATACCTGCAAGAGTTCCCGCGCAATATTTCATGGCAACACTGCAATGCAATTATCCTCAGCAAGAAAAATCGAATAAACAGGTTCATACTCAGACCACTATAGCTCATAGTATAAACACCAAAGTACAGGGTAAACACCAAAGTTCTCAAACCCTACCGTGCGCTAAGTATAACATTGAGCGGATCTTTTTGTCGGCTTCTTCCATACGCATTCTGCTGAAGGTCTTAGTTTCTAGTTCGATTCTGATATTCACAGATTCCTCGAACTTTCTCTTTTCCTCTACATTTCTAGCTACCTGTTCTAACTCTTGTTTCAAAAATCTAGCAGATTTAACACGTTATCAATATCGATGTTCTCTTTGGCTTTTAATGTCAATTAGAACATATCCCTCTAATCTTGCCATGGGTTGGGGGATCGATTGAGCGCGTTTGCCAGGATGACGAGGCTCCCCTCATGCTTGATTCGTTCTCAGATGGAAATTGCTATCATAGACGACTTACTGAAATTGGTATTTTAACTAAAATAAACAGGCAACCACAACAGGTTCAAAAAACAAAAATGCAAAAAAATAAAAAGTTTAAAAAGTAAATGACAAACACTACGGGGTTCGAACATCACCCCAGACACCCAAGTACTGAAGTAGACAGCCTTTCCTACCTGTTCCACTGCAACTCACATAAACTGAACAGTATAATCAGTAAAATTTGGAGAATGCATGCTATTAAACTGCTAAATAAATAATGCATGCTTTTAAACTGCTACTACTATGCAACAGTAGTGTCATGAAAATGAACATTTTTTAGCGAGCTTGGTTAAAAAAATGTAGGGTCCATAATATAACATTGCACTTGCTAGCGTGCTTTTGTAAAAAAATGCGACTTTCCAGGCAATTTTTACGGCTTTAGTTATTAATCCATTTTTTAGGAAATTCCAAGAAACTGAAGGAGTTTTGATTAGTTATTGAAAAAAGAAACTTATGCAAAATCGGTATCTCACTTATTATGCCGAATATTGTAAATTTTGGAACAAGAAAAATGAAATAACACTTCTTGCAACTGATTGATTGAAATGTGGTGAAAAGATATAGCATAAATCTCGCGTTCAATTTTTATTGGGGATATGTAAAAAAAAATTATTATACATAAAAGTTTGTTAGGGTTGTTAATCGGCAAACGCGCAAAAAAACACCTGAATGACTAACTTTGTGATCTGAAACATGATTTTCCGAGAACAATCAAAGGGACAACTATTTCAAACCAGGCATTTTGCTATTGCAGACAGAAGTTTGAGCTCATAATAAATGAAATTGAACAGTCTTTGAAAAAAAACAGAGCCAACAGACAATTGAAAAAGATTCCTTAAACGCAAAAAAACTGAAAATAAACACTGACTTTTTGTTTCGAAAAATATTTAAAGAAACTTTCGAATTTCAAAGAAACAAATAGATGCGTTAAAAACTCTTCAAAAATCTAAAACAATTTATGGTGGACCCTCTTTACAAAATTGTTCTTTGTGAACCCAAACTTTTGCCGTTCGATAGTGGAGTGTGCCTTCCTTATAACAAAGAAAATGAACTGAACAAAAGTTAAAACTTTTGCTGAAAAAACGAAAAAAAAATCATCGCGACTTATGCAAGAGTCTGATCTGCGTTCATCGACTCTTAATCAACTGCCAAAAAAGGGTGAACTGAATTCAACTCGAACTTTGAGAGGAGCCGGAAATTCGTCAAGAACATACCTGCAAGAGTTCCCGCGCAATATTTCATGGCAACACTGCAATGCAATTATCCTCAGCAAGAAAAATCGAATAAACAGGTTCATACTCAGACCACTATAGCTCATAGTGTAAACATCAAAGTACAGGGTAAAGATCAATGTCAAGATGGTCAAGTATTTGTCAAATCAATTATTCAAGCTGTTTCATCATTAAGAGTCTTGATTTAGATCAATAAAACAACATTATACATTGAATCAATCTATAAATCATTGCAAGTAAACTTAAGAAAGCGAAGTATCCACTCGAAATTAGAGGATCTCGGGTATAAAGCCGTTGTTGCCCCAAGCCGATAGGACTTCAGGAAGCTCTTAAAATTTCTCGCTCGGAAACTATCTTGTTTATCATGTATCGACTCAATTGCAAACTAAGCATATTTTCATCCGCATAAATTCCGTTTGTTTTTACTCAGAGGGGGATCTAGCAAAATTTCGAGGGGAGGGGAAGGTGCGTTTTTTCAAACAAAATTCAAAAATTTTGATGACCTTTTTTTTAGATCGATCAAACTAATTTTCAGAGCGTTTTTAAAACCCATAAAGAACCTATTTTTACAACATTATCTGTGACGCTGGCCAAAAAAGCCGTTTTTGGGTATTTCTTGGAAGATTTGACCAAAATTGGCACGCAACTTAATATTTACTGGTACCAAGGGCGCTTTTAGAAAAATTGTAGCGCCAGTCGGCCGAAAGTCTGTATCGTAAAATAGTACTACAGGAAGGAACCTTTGGTTAGTGAGGGTGTCGAAACCCTGATAAATGAGGGGGGGAGGAAGTCGATTCCGCGTCCGAAGACCCCGGCCTAAATCCGCCCTTTTTCTTATACATATTCTGATTTTTTTTGCTCTTAGGTTAGAAATCTTGGCAAGTTTTTGAAATAAGCCAGCACTAAAACTTTCAAGATTGAATTTGTATCATAATCAGTTTTTTTATCAGAAATGAGGCACAAAGATTAATAACAAAACATATAAAAAAGAACTTTTGTCAGTTTTCAAAATTTTGTCAGTTTTCAAAAATCTACTGTGTGGAAAATAGTTTTTCTCGACACTAAAACACTTTTTCTAATTTTTTTTGACTTCTAATTGCGACTAATATGACATTAATATGTTATCGAAATTTAGCTTCAGAAAAAATTGTCCCAGGCGCTAAAAGATTCAAAATTAGCACAGAGTTTGAAATCGCCGGATATACATGGCAGCAAAAAATAAATCGAGCCAATCCACTGATATAAATTTGAGTGCGAATTAAATTTTTCACATAAAAACAGACTACGATTACATTTTTTAATGAAAAAATGAACATGATTATGATTATGAACCCTAACATATTTCTCAGAATAAGTACAACGCTCTTACAAGCCTAAGTTATTTATTGCAGATAAAAATTGAGACAAAACAAATGAAACCTTTGAGAACAAAGCCAACAGCCAGTTGGAACGGACATCAAGGCAAAAAAAACTCACTAGATTTTCTTTTTTTCTCAAACTTTAACCAAAAAAATGGCCTTGAAGAGCTTTGAATTTGAAGAGCAATTGATGATCGGCACTGTTTTGTTAGAATTAACACAATCTAAATAGCTTTCCTTCTAAAAACGGCTGAAAAAAGTCAATTTTGTTCTCCGTCGACGTAATTTACTTGCATCGTCACAAAACGAGCTGCCGACTGCCGAGGATTCAAGGTGCGTCCACAAAGACAACATAAGGCATGTATTTAATTTCCTCAACTTCTTGGTAGACTCAAACACAAAACAAATCCCCATATAAAACTTTATTTTTGGAACTACGTATTTTGCCGTAACAAAGCCTTACATGATGGGTAACAATAAAACAT